TTCTGTTTTATTTGTTCTTTTCTCCTCAAAAATGTAAACACACTGATCAGAAGAAAGTTGGAAGCTTTCCCTGCTCTCAGCCAGGAAATGCAAATGTGTGAGGACTGGAAAGGCGCCGCCCCTGCGTGTGCGTGGGTGGTGCGTGTGGGAGGAGGGGTGGCTCCTCACCCCGAGGCTGAGCGGAAGCATCACTCCCGGGACCTGCAGGGAGGGGCCTGATCTCCCTCCTGGGGGGACAGAAGCTGTCGCCTCACTAACCACTGTTTACTTCTCATGTGGGAAGCTTTGCGGTCGCTTTGCGGGTGGACTTTGTTTTCTGTCGGGTGCACTGTTCATTCACGCGTCCGCGGTTTTGTATGTGAGAAACACTGCACTGAACTCGTGTGTGTGCTGAGATGACAGCTGTAGATGTGACCACAAATAAAGCTTTCGAGAAACACTTCCGTTTTCTGAGCCGCCTCTGTGCCCTGGGAGCGAACCGACCCGCGGGCGTTCTCTCTCTCGCAGCAGCCCGAGGTCCGAGCGCAGCTCAGGGGACGCGAGGATGGACACAGCGCACGGCTCCTGGCGTTCATTTCAGGGTCTGGTGCGCCTCTGGGAGCAGAGGAAGGAGGAAGGGTGAGGACCTGGGTCACAGCACACGCTGGAGGCACAGCGGCCGCCCAGGGCGGGGCGGGAGCAGCTCAGCTCTGCCACTGAGCAGCCCTGAGACCAGTCAGTCCCCACCGCCTCCGCAGGGGAGCCGGTGAGCGCAGCCTCTCGCAGGGGAGGAGAGGACCCCGTCTCCTTCCTCAGCCCAGCGGCTTCCCTGTGTGCACGTGGCACCACCCCAGGGAAGACGTGCTGGGCAGTGCCCGGCTGCTGAGAAAGTCTCCTCCCCCCCGCCCCCTTCCCGCCTGGAGCGCAGGGAGAGGCAGGAGCCCGGCTCAGCCGCTGTGCTGGGAGCTGCCCCCAAAGGGATAAGCAACCAAAGCCGCTCCAACTTAAGCAACACAACTCCCTGGGCAGATACGGGGACTCTGCACCAGCAGGAAGCGGGGGACAGCGGGAGTGAAGGGGGGAGAGAGGACTCCATCTGGACTTCGACTGGCACCTTGACTGTGTGCCCACACCGTGGCCTCAGGGTAGGGCACCCAAGGCCAAGGGTCCAAAGGGAAGGGAATGGGCTACCAAACCACAGATGATCCCAGCCTCCCCACAGGACGGGTCAGTGGTCAGACCAAGAAAAGGCAGGAGGGGCAGAGGCAGCTCAGGCGGGAGCCCGAGGAAGGGAACTCGGGTGGGTTGTGGCACTGACCTGTCTTAGGGTGACCTACCCCAGGAGACATTCAGCCCAGCTGTGCTTGGGTTCTGACTCCATCAGAGGCCTAGCAGGGGCAGAGCAGCCCCTCCCACAGCAGGGTCGCCCCTGCCGTGTGCCCTGGGGTGCTCCCACCCTCTGTCTCCAGGCTGGCTGGCGCTGGCAGGCTAGGCACTGAGGCCGTTGGGCGGAAATAGATTTTCAAGATGACCCGGTCCCAGCTCCTGCGTGTGATGGTCAGGAAGCCGGAGCATCTAGGCCAGGGGCAGGCGTTCAGGTCGGGCTTCCAGGAC